TTGGTTTGACTACCATTGTGCATTTCTGTGGACCAATTTAGCACGCATGATGAAAACAATCGAAACACATTCCTGCGGAGGGAGCTGGTAGGAACGATGGGTGGCCAGGGTCAACGGCGGCGTGGTGTATTCTGCAAATATGGCCGACTGTTAGGGCGGGCACAAGCCTTACAACACACGTGTGTACAGTGCCCTGTGCAGACATGTGTAGTGCTCAACTAAAGGTTTTATTTTGACCGGACAGGGCCCACTGAGCTCTATACGATTCGGAAGTGACCTTGCCTCGAATGATGGCTCAACGAATTGGCGGATTAAATGTAGAGATTGAGTGCCGTGGCCGCCTTCCTTACCCATCCCCTCCCTCCCTACCCATCCCCTCCCTCCCCACCCATCCCCTCCCCAAACTCCCCTCCTCACCCAGCCCCTCCCCACTCCACCCAGCCCCACCCACCATTCCCATATTTGGAATCAACGACGGACAAAGTAATCCCCTGTGGGCTGGTGTAACCAGAGGTTCCTACCAGTATTACCTGTTCTATAGTCATGTTTTTTTTTTAATACGGTGGGTGACATGACTCACAATCACCCCAAGTTAGACAGGGTTCACTCACCACAGCAGCCCGGCTAGCTCAGTCGGTAGAGCATGAGACTCTTAATCTCAGGGTCGTGGGTTTGAGCCCCACGTTGGGCGCAGAATTATTTTGTGATTTGCTTTGACTACCATTGTGCATCTCTGTGGGCCAATTTCGCACACATGATGAAAACAATCGAATTACCTTTTGCTTTTTGTCATGTTTTCTGAAATATACTGTGGGTCACTTGACTCACAATCACCCCAAGTTCGACTGGGGACACTTACAACAGTAGCTAGGCTAGTTCAGTCGGTCGAGCTAGAGACTCTTGATCTCAGGGTCGTGGGTTTGAGCCCCATGTTGGGTGCAGAAACAACGTGTGATTCCCATGGACTTCAATTGTCCATTTATGTAGATGAATTAACTGGACAGTCTTTAAACTTACCAATTCCTTTTTGCTTCAATTCATGTTTTTTTGAAATATACGGTGGGTGACATGACTCACAATCACCCCAAGTTAGACAGGAGTCACTCACCACAGCAGCCTGGCTAGCTCAGTCGGTAGAGCATGAGACTCTTAATCTCAGGGTCGTGGGTTCGAGCCCCACGTTGGGCGCAGAATAATTTTGTGATTTGCTTTGACTACCATTGTGCATTTCTGTGGACCAATTTAGCACGCATGATGAAAACAATCGAAACACATTCCTGCGGAGGGAGCTGGTAGGAACGATGGGTGGCCAGGGTCAACGGCGGCGTGGTGTATTCTGCAAATATGGCCGACTGTTAGGGCGGGCACAAGCCTTACAACACACGTGTGTACAGTGCCCTGTGCAGACATGTGTAGTGCTCAACTAAAGGTTTTATTTTGACCGGGCAGGGCCCACTGAGCTCTATACGATTCGGAAGTGACCTCGCGTCGAATGATGGCTCAACGAATTGGCGGATTGAGTGTCGTGGCCGCCTTCCGCACCCATCCCCTCCCTCCCCACCATTCCCCTCCCTCCCCACCAATCCCCTCCCTCCCCACCCATCCCCTCCCTCCCCACCCATCCCCTCCCCAAACTCCCCTCCTCACCCAGCCCCTCCCCACCCTCCACTCTCCACCCAGCCCCACCCACCCTTCCCATATTTGGAATCCACGACGGACAAAATAATCCCCTGTGGGCTGGTGTAACCAGAGGTTCCTACCAGTATTACCTGTTCTATATTGTCATGTTTTTTTTAATACGGTGGGTGACATGACTCACAATGACCCCAAGTTAGGCAGTAATAACACACCACAGAAGCCCGGCTAGCTCAGTCGGTAGAGCATGAGACTCTTAATCTCAGGGTCGTGGGTTCGAGCCCCACGTTGGGCGCAGAATAATTTTGTGATTTGCTTTGACTACCATTGTGCATCTCTATGGGCCAATTTCGCACACATGATGAAAACAATCGAATTACCTTTTGCTTTTTGTCATGTTTTCTGAAATATACTGTGGGTCACTTGACTCACAATCACCCCAAGTTCGACTGGGGACACTTACAACAGTAGCTAGGCTAGTTCAGTCGGTCGAGCTAGAGACTCATGCTCTACCGACTGAGCTAGCCGGGCTTCTGTGGTGTGTTAGCGCTGCCTAACTTGGGGTCATTGTGAGTCATGTCACCCACCATATGAAAAAAAAAAAATCTCAGGGTCGTGGGTTTGAGCCCCATGTTGGGCGTAGAAACAACGTATAATTCCCATGGACTTAAATTGTGCATTTATGTAGATCAATTAACTAGATAGTCTTTAAACTTACTAATTCCTTTTTGCTTAAATTCATGTTTTTTCTGAAATATAATGTGGGTGACATGACTCACAATCACCCCAAGTTCGACTGGAGGCACTTACAACAGCAGCTAGGCTAGTTCAGTCGGTAGACCATGAGACTCTTAATCTCAGGGTCGTGGGTTTGAGCCCCATGTTGGGCGTAGAAACAACGTGTGATTCCCATGGACTTAAATTGTCCATTTATGTAGATCAATTAACTAGACAGTCTTTAAACTTACTAATTCCTTTTCGCTTAATTTCATGTTTTTTTTTTTAAGAAACGGTGGGTGACATGACTCACAATCACCTCAAATTAGACAGGGGTCACACACCACAGAAGCCCGGCTAGCTCAGTCGGTAGAGCATGACACTCTTAATCTCAGGGTCGTGGGTTCGAGCCCCATGTTGGGCGCAGAATCATTTTGTGATTTGCTTTGACTACCATTGTGCATCTCTGTGGGCCAATTTCGCACACATGATGAAAACAATCGAATTACCTTTTGCTTTTTGTCATGTTTTCTGAAATATACTGTGGGACACATGACTCACAATCACCCCAAGTTCGACTGGGGACACTTACAACAGCAGCTAGGCTAGTTCAGTCGGTCGAGCTAGAGACTCTTGATCTCAGGGTCGTGGGTTTGAGCCCCACGTTGGGCGCAGAATAATTTTGTGATTTGGTTTGACTACCATTGTGCATTTCTGTGGACCAATTTAGCACGCATGATGAAAACAATCGAAACACATTCCTGCGGAAGGAGCTGGTAGGAACGATGGGTGGCCAGGGTCAACGGCGGTGTGGTGTATTCTGCAAATATGGCCGACTGTTAGGGGCGGGCACAAGCCTTACAACACACGTGTGTACAGTGCCCTGTGCAGACATGTGTAGTGCTCAACTAAAGGTTTTATTTTGACCGGGCAGGGCCCACTGAGCTCTATACGATTCGGAAGTGACCTTACCTCGAATGATGGCTCAACGAATTGGCGGATTAAATGTAGAGATTGAGTGCCGTGGCCGCCTTCCGCACCCATCCCCTCCCTCCCCACCCATCCCCTCCCCAAACTCCCCTCCTCACCCTCCCCTCTCCACCCAGCCCCACCCACCCTTCCCATATTTGGAATCCACGACGGACAAAAGAATCCCCTGTGGGCTGGTGTAACCAGAGGTTCCTACCAGTATTACCTGTTACTTATTGTCATGTTTTTTTTTAATACGGTGGGTGACATGACTCACAATGACCCAAGTTAGGCAGCGATAACACATCAAAGAAGCCCGGCTAGCTCAGTCGGTAGAGCATGAGACTCTTAATCTCAGGGTCGTGGGTTCGAGCCCCACGTTGGGCGCTCAATAATTTTGTGATTTCCTTTGACGACTATTGTGCATTTCTGTGGACCAATTTAGCACGCATGATGAAAACAATCGAATTACCTTTTACTTATTGTCATGTTTTTTCTGAAATATACTGTGGGTTACTTGACTCACAATCACCCCAAGTTCGACTGGGGACACTTACAAGAGCAGCTAGGCTAGTTCAGTCGGTCGAGCTAGAGACTCTTGATCTCAGGGTCGTGGGTTTGAGCCCCATGTTGGGCGTAGAAACAACGTGTGATTCCCATGGACTTAAATTGTCCATTTATGTAGATCAATTAACTAGACAATCTTTAAACTTACTAATTCCTTTTTGCTTAAATTCATGTTTTTTTTAAATATACGGTGGGTGACATGACTCACAATCACCCCAAATTAGACAGGGGTCACTCACGACAGAAGCCCAGCTAGTTCAGTCGGTAGAGCATGAGACTCTTAATCTCAGGGTCGTGGATTTGAGCCCACGTTGGGCTCAGAATAGTTTTGACCACCTCAATGTGAAATTGTAGTTGCTTGTGTGCATCTACATCAGCAGCCATACGATAAGATGTCAGAAGTGCCGAGTGAGAGGAAGGGACTTCGACCACACCTGGAGGAGAGGTAATTTCACAGAAACACTCAAGACTGAGTGCCAACTAGTCAACACGAATCGTTTCCTGTCCCAGTATCTGTACTGTAGTTGACACATATTGTTGAAGTGGTTAGTATGCAAATAGTTATAGTGTGAATCGTTCATTGTGGATATAGGTTTAAAAAATCTAAACTGGTCATTGGTGTGTATTTATATGATTTCTTGGTTAGTTTTTTATAGTTATCTCTGCTTGAAATGTGATTCTTCATAGTTTAAATATATGCTTTTATTATTAATATATGCATTTGTAGGTTTCCTAAAGTGTTTGATAAACATTCAGGTAACTACAGAACATTCAGTTCAGATTTAATCTGTTTCTGTACTTCATCTTTATTTATCAATTAGTACATTGTTAATGCTGTATTAATCCAGCAATGATGCATTGCAACACAATAAATTGTTCGTAAGAAAAGTGCGTCATTATTTTGTGGCGGGATGGAGTTTAGAATAGGAATCGAAAATTCAAATCGATACCACCTATTGATAATTATTTGTGAATGGAACACGGAATTGATTCCAAAAATGGTTGGCATCGGCCATCTTTCGGTCTTGGCAGATAATCACGTGGTTAGGGTGGGGGCGTGGGAGCGGTGGGGCGGGGGGGTAGGGGCGGGGCTTGTATAGGGGCGGGGCGGGTTCCCGCACGGGATCGCGTTGACTTCTCGCGCTGACTTCTCGCGCTGACTTCTCGCGATACTTGGAGGGGTCAGAGAGAAGAAGATGGCGCTGCTGTTAAGGTGGGTTGCAGAGTAACCGTCGGAACTTGCACTAAATATCAACAAGAACCACAGCGCACAGCCAACTCGGACATCGCGACGTCTTACAGACACCACATTCGCAAATAGGTCTTTGTTTCCACGGTAGTTGTGTCTCGCGTTCCGAAAGGTGACCACTATCGTGGAGACGGAGCGATTAAATGGACAGGTGCTGATCGTTGACATCGCGGGTTCGTGAGGGGCTTGAGGAGGTCTTCATCCAGCAGTAGATTGACCATGGCTGATAATGATGGTGGTGGTGGGGTGGGTGTTTGCGTATCGGAGTGGGCACTCAGAGGTCGCACATGAGGAGGGACACTGTAAGGGGAGTTCCGTAGGGGAAGGGGCGAATGCGTAACAGCTCCGGGCGTCTTGATATGGGGCAGGCAGCGGTGCCACCACCATCATCACCACCACCATCATCATCACCACCATCATCACCAAGACGTGAAGTAGCCAGGCTTGAGCCGTAGGGGCTCGTGGAAGGATGCGGCCGTGAGGCGTTGACCTTGTGGGTTGTGAGAGCCGCGGGACTTGGTATGCGGACTCTGTGACGCAGTGCGGGACCTTTTTGGAAGTATTAAAGTATGGAAACATAAGAATAGGTTTTGTCCTTTCTGGCAATGAAACAGGTTGTTAAGGTGTTCAAACACCAAACAGATGACATTTTGCAAGGAATCATGTTTGTATTAACCATATGTACTTGTGGTGAACATGCAAACAAAAAACATACTCTGATAATGTTTGCATGTTCTTTGAGGCTGATTGATCTACACCAGAAACAGCAGAGAACAACGCCAAAAAGCGACCAGTGACAATTTAGCCACACATGAAACATTCGCCTATTTTATTGCCAGAAAGGATCAAGCCTATTCTTATTTCTTTCGGAACGCGGTGTTTACACACTCCGCACAGTGGAAAGGTCCCTTTGTAACCCACTGAGACCAAACGCGCTTTCACGGAAGGTGGCCCAAGCATTTGAGGTGGGAAAGCCTAAAAGGTGGTCGACTTAAATGGCCAATACAAATGAGCTGTGGTATGTCAATTTGTCACGTGAGTTGATTTTCACAGACACGTATTGCACGTTTAATTGGCCGTGTAAACTAAATCGCGACCGCTAAAGGGTTGGTACCCCACCACGACTCACAAGCTAAGAGAGGAGGGACATCGTCTCGGGCCTTTGAGAAGGCACAGTGTGGTGCCGATATGTGTCCAATTTGTGTGGCATCTGCACCACCCCCATCTCCCCCGTGGTCCCACGATAATTCAATTGATGGGTGCTTTGAATGAGGCTGCTTTTTTAAACCAAGGCCAGATGATGAGGTATGTAGAACTTGCCATGAACATAACGCATTTGAAAGTATTATAGTAAGCATGGCCTCCGTAGTAGTGCACTGTTTATTATATATTTTTTACTGTTAAAATACTTGTAATCTAAACTTAAATTGGGGAGAGTGCACATATCTTAAAAAATTGGATTTTAGAAAAGATCAGTTTTTTCAAGTAAAAGTTTGACAACATTACATTTGGGTAAGAACACAAAGTACAATAGACAACACGAATAGCAAACACTAATTCAGTGCGTACACTTTCGTATGAGAAGCCGTCAAACTCGTCACGTCACGAGAACATAAGCTTCCTGTATTGCACGACCCTGACAGTGGACGCGAACTGGAGCACGGGAGAGGTCATCTGGGGACAAATGTATGCACAATAATTGGTTGGGCAAGCCGGGCACGCCAGTGCGTTTGGAAGGCTGCCTTTTAAAGCTTACAACCCAGCTGTCGTAATTAGAAGCATTTTACGTCCGTCTACAACAGCAGTTGTGCAATTGCAGTCACGTTTTGTAGTAATTGAGACATTAAAAGCCAGTTGGCTCAGAGGTAGAGCAAGCGGCTCCTTAATCGGGATGTTATAAGTAAAAGCTTGTTACTTTAACACTTTTTATTTATGTCAATGTCATTTTACATTGAAATAAAATTGGCAAATATTCGTCATATTTGAAAAACATGTTGTTCATTACCCTTACACAATATTTGTTTGTACTTCATCTTCGGGGTTATTGCACTTTAACAAAAATACGCTATCGGGTAAAAACGACTCCCAACCCATAAAGAGTCCTTGTATTTGTGTAGGACCGTGATGTCATGTGAACACCTTTAATTATTGCTTGAGATCCAGTTGTCGATTAATTGAAAGTGACAATAAAACCAGTGACCACAATTACATCAGGTAGCGATAAAATAAATCACCGAAGTTTGTTTTACTCCTTGGCGTTGTTGCCCAATTTTCCGCATGGCTCACTGGTGGCCACATGTTGCCCAATCACATACCTGTGCACTGGGCACCATGCAGTAAGTAAGGCGCCTTTATTGCTTAGACCATGTAATGAACTTACATTTAAATAACAGCAACATGGATATGATTATGAAGCACTCGGGTTTTAAACGTGGTTTCTGTATATTCTCTTACAGACTTGCAGGGCGCCATTGCGCGCGCAAACAGCTGTCGGCGTTTCCTCTACAACCATGGTACGCACAATTTTGCATGAATCATTAAGCCACTTGAGTAGTCGTCAATGTTGATTTGACGCTTTCGTGACTGCAGGAATCCATACTCTTTGGTTCTTTCGGTAAAGGCACGTAGGTATAAAAATAAAACAAACAAAAAAATTAACCCGTAAAAACAAAGTTTTTCACTATAAATCCTTTATATGCGTGGCGGCTAGAGTACTCTCGTCCTCTGGCTTGAGATGGCTGCCACCTATGGGTCAGATGATTGCCTGCCACCATTAAGCAATTGGTAATTAAGTATATTTTTTTTTCCTAAAAAGTGTAAAAATTTGGACAAAAAATTTTCACGAAAATTAATTGGCACGCACAACGAGTCTGTGTGCAAAATGTCAGCTCGATTGGATCACGGGAAGTGGGTTAAAAAACGACCGAAAGATTTGCACGGTCGTAAGCGTGCAAGCAAGTGAACTTAATATAAAGGATTTAATAATATATCACGACGTTTCGATCGCAACACAAGCGGTCGTCCTCAGGTGGAAAAAAATATAATCCAGCAGTGGAACTGCTGAACCAGCAAGAGAGCTGTTTCAACAATAGGTCCCTATTCATATACAACACAATTTTATGTAAACATGGCCATATTCACAATTGATGAATAATTGTATTTTCATGTAATTTACAAGAGGTTCAAACTAGAATGTTTTTCTGAATTTGTATTTAAAGGAAAATTTGTGGACTTTTGTGTTAAAATGTAATGTATATATTTTTTTAATCAGTTCTGTAGGCATGGCAACCTCAGCCAAGAAAGAAATGGATAAATTTTGGGATAAGAACACACAGCTTCAACGGCCGCTGTCTCCACACATCTCCATTTACAGGTAAGGAATTGTTAAATATTTTCAGTGGTGTATTATGAAAATAGGAGCCCCTGTTCACTTTTAGAACACGAGTTAAAACCATTGTTTCACGCAGTCTTAAATTCATGATTTTGTGAAAAAAAAATCATTAGGGAATTTAGAGTACTAATGAGCGAATCTGTGGCACTGAAGTTACAAGGAACAATGCAGGCCTAGTAAGCATGATGATGAAATAGGCTGTCATGCATTGCACCGGGATGCAGTTTAAGAACATTTATAAATAAATCGCCAAATGATGATATGCTAAATAGTTGCTATTATCGATCTTGTTCAGTGCCCCATGCTCCAATTCAGCTTCCATAGAATTGCCCACATTTATTGAAATTGTTCATATATTCAGAGCTAGAGGTTGTGTTCAGTGCAGAAATGAAACAGTGACATTTACTAGTCATACTAATTTTTGAAGCCTCTTGGAGAGTAATAGGGATATCCATTTTTGTTAATTAGATATGTCAGGTGAAAATAATGTTGCTTTCCTTACACAACCTATCAACAAATACAGGATTGAAATTATATTGTAAATATTAACTATTTCTCAACAGCAAATTCTGATGAAGCTATAAATAATTATCCGTGGTGATTTATCCATTAAATTGTTATGTTGTGCATTACACTTCAGTGTTGTTTTAAAGGCATTTTGTACGTCTGTCAACAGATGGTCTGTACCAATGTTGATGTCCATCACACACCGTGGAACAGGAGTTGCTTTAAGTGCAGGTTGAGAACATTTCACGTTTTTTCCACCAACACATTCTGACACTTACACGTTGTGTTTGAACACTCGTAGTAAACCACACGATCAGAGCAGAATTTGTCTGATGGGATTTGTATGGAAAAAAGTCTACGAAGAATTGGGCAAACCAAGCATGGAATAGCACATCTTAGATGTCTTCGATAACATGTTAAAGAAGCTCAGGCAATATTTTAAAATAGAGGGATTGGTGGTCATTGCCTGCGATTTTTCAATACTGTAAATATGAGGAAAACGTGATTAAAGTTATATATCACTTTGGAAAATATAGTGTATGGCATCATGTATGGCACTGTTTTTGTTTTTAGTCGCGTATAATGAAATGTTGTGGGATCACATTCATGAGCTATGCGCATATTTATTTTATGTCTGTATGTTGAACTTCTTTCGCACCGTAATTAGCTAATCGGGAGGTGCGGGGGAAGGACAACAAACTAAACACAAAAAGTAGTTCTAAAGAAATTAATTTTAAATCTAGATTTAAAAGTAATTTTTATTGTGGTTTATTGGATGTTGATGTAATGCCTTGGAATTTTCCATGCTCTATTCCGATCATGGAGAAAAAAAAATCCACGTAGAAAATACATACATATTTTGATACTTATAATGTTCCAAATTTGCATTTACACAATAAGCATATGCTTGCTGAACTCTCAATATGTATGTTGCCACTCAAAGATGTTGCTAACTTTGAGGCTCCAATAAAAATATCTATTGTGTGTGTGTGCACGCAGGTGTGTCAGCATTTGCCTTGGCTGCATTGCTTTTTCCAGGAGACTTTGCCACGAAACTAGAATTTGTGAAAAACCTGGAGGTTAATAGCACGTTGATCTACATGGGAAAATTTGTCATTGCCTGGCCTTTTATGTACCACAGCTGGAATGGAATCAGACATCTGGTAAGTTGGCTTTCTAGAGAGATGAAATGGTTAGGCATTGTCATACCATTTTTTTTGTTTAGAAATCTTTTAATGCAAAAAGACACTTCATTGTCAGGCACAAGAAGGAATCCAAAAATATTAATGCGTCTGGCACTGCCTTGTAAATCAACAAGGTTTAAGCAATGGGCTTTGTTCAATGTCACTCTTTAGTCACTCTTTGTAAAATATAAACTTATGACATGGTGCTTATTTTAATTATATGGTGAGAGTTTTTATAGTAGTCTTGGAACCTTGTCGTTGAACATTAATTAAAAAAATACATCTTTTTAATAGTTGAGCAATATTTTTGTGATGGTTTATATAAAATGTGCACATATATAATGTACCTTTACCAAGTATAGGTGTTGATAAGTCACACTTAGCTTGTGTGATGGATACATGACTCTCAGTTTGTATTGATTATAACATTCCAGTTTTCAATAATACATATTGTATGTGACTTTGTTTTTTTTAACAGGCCTGGGATGCTGGAAAAGGATTTAAGATACCACAAGTCTCGCAGAGTGGATACTTCGTGCTGGCACTGACGTTCATCACAGCAGGAATTGTGGCTGCCTTATAAACCATTATTCACCCAAACATTAACTAAAACATGTATCTGCAGCATGTTATTACATTGGTCATAATTTGCTAATTCACACAAGGACAGTGGGATACTTTTGGACACAGCACTGTAATTGCATATAACGACTTGGTGATATGAAGATAAGACTGAAAGAGGTTTTATCTCAATTTACTTTTCTGGACTTTTTCAGGACATCTAAAATTCTCTCCAATACCTAATGTTGCCACACTTTCTGTTTAAAACTATGATAGAATGGTTATTAAACAAAGTTATAAACTTAAATTAATGTATTTCAAAGTGTCAACGTGTCTTTAAAAAGGTTGTTTGAATATAGACTGGAACATGACAATTTGGGACACCATCCTTTTGACAAGATGCTTCAAGGTGATTGAAATCCTCACCAATCTTAATATTTTCCCACTATTAGTTGTGCATGGTTACATACAACCTTTGAGGGGAGGGGGGGACACAAGGTGAACTAATACATTCTAAGCTCCGTTTACGATCTGCCCCAAAGACCCCTGCATTATTTTAGGGTTATAGAAGGTCAGTAAATAAAACACTTTTTTTCAAATGTATTCCCCTGCAAATATCTCCACACCTCCGATTATCAATGTTGGCTACGTACGGTGCGAAAGAAGTTCAACATACACATTTGGCCCAGCAGTGCTGAAATAGTGACGGCAATTTGCACAGTGCAATAACATGGGAAGCCATCCCAAGGACGCTCCACAAGCAACAGACACATTTAACATTAGTTCTCAGTCCATGGCAATGGTAAATGTGTCAGTCGTGGCCACTGAAGAGGAGAGTTTTGCACGCGTTTTTCAACGACGGCAGCGACTTGGCCGCTTGTGAGTGCAGTGCCAACGGCAAAGGGGCGGTCGCCAAACATCGTTCTCGTCGTGGGAACGCGCGGGTCACGGTGCAGAGCGGACCCCGGGGCGACGTCTGGACTCATTGGCGGACACTGGCTACGCGGATGTCTGCTCGGTAATTTGCCTGCGGGGGTGGGTGTGGAGCTGATCCAATGCAGTGCCTTGTTGGTACGCAGCCCAAGTTGGAACCTGACACTCTGCCGGACCCGCAAAGCAATGGTAGCTTTGTGCAGAGATCGCGTATCGTGGTCAAGCTTCTGGCTGCCGTAGATCATGACTGGAGACCGAAGCGGTGTTGGAAGGTTGCCCCAGGTCAAGGAGACTGGTTGCGGTAGGCAACTCCGTAGACTACGAAAGCTTTTTATTTCAGGCTTCATGGCTCTAGAAGTTGGTGCTTTCACAATGTTAAACATTTAGCTCCTCTCAAATATTGACTTTCGTGACTGTAGGAATTAATATTCTATGGTTCTTTCGGTAAAGTCACGTAGAAAACCACAGAATATCCTCATGCTTGCACACGTAGAAGTCAGGGAGCTAACCGGTACATGTCAGATGGTTTGACAATTTACCTTCATCAAAATGTCACAACGCAACGTTCCACAGCACATAGCGAGCTGAATGCGGTTGTGTAGCTGTGATGTCAACTCACGCAGGAGTTACCACTTCGATTTAAAGCTTTCGTGACTGCAGGGATTCATCTTCTTGGTTCTTCCGGTAAAGTCACGTAGAAGGGAAGTAATAAAATAATAAAAATAAATAATAAAATATTTTATTATGTTTTATTTTTATTATTTTATTACTTCCCTTCTACTTGACTTTACCGAAAGAACCAAGAAGATGAGTTACCACTTCTCAATAGGAATGCAGGTGATATATAGTTACGAATAAAATTATTGCAAAACACGCAAGCTGTGAAAATGCGTTTAAACGACATTTTCTTGACATGGTAAAACTACTTTCCATTGATGTGACAGTAAAATTAAGCATAATACAACGTGCAGGTTTATTTCGCTTTATGCGGGTTTTTTTGCGTATATGCGGATATCGTGCGGTTTGAATTCACTCATGCGGCTATGCGGTCGTGTGTACTGTCAGCCTGTCAGGGGTGGCCCGTCCATTTAGTCAAAATAGGCGGTCGCCTCGGGCGCCAAGTCAAGTGGGACGCCATATTCGAGGAAAAAATACAAATAAAATAACGAATGTCATTCTTTCAATTCCCGTGCGCGTACAGAGGGAATATGAATTATAATTAGTAGCTCAACATTTCTGAGAATCTATTGGTTGGACAGACAAAGCGAATAATTATGCCTCAGGAAAATACGCTTAAAAAAACATTACACGTAAAATCGGGGCAACATTTTCCCAGTTTACCAAAATAACCTTGGCCGAGATCTGCCTTTGGGAGTGGGTCACCGCTGTGTGCTCTGCTGTATGCGTGGCTTGACAGGCAGCCGTCCCGTGCAGTTTTGCTTCGTGTGCCCTTTTTTTAAATTGGAACGCATCTACGAACACAAAGCGAGGGAAATATGTATTTATATACTGGACGTAAATATTAGAAGATACAAAAAACGACATTGTTTTATGTATGTTATTGCATTGCCAACGATTACCATAGGCATTTGTACTTTAACTCCTTATCATATGTTAATGTTTAACCCTAGAGCAGAATACATCTGTAGCACAACCTTGACTGCCTTATCAAAGGTGGTGTTGTAAATTACAGATTGCAAGTTAGAAACTGGGCAGAAACTTTTATTTTTAAGTGTCATGCTGCTTGCTCTTTCTATCATAAAAGTGGTTTAACATGCATACTCCGATGTGCCAAACATGACTGGATTACAATGACGGAATAAGATTTGGCATATCATTACCAAATGAGTTTAAGAGGTGCAGTCCAACATCTTACTCGAGAGCACCTTCTCTCGCGGTTATTTGGCCTACTATCCCGTGCTGGCCAGCACATCTTGGAATTGGTGGGGAGTCACCACACTTTGCCCCGACACACACGTGCAGCCTGCCGATCGACTCTTGGGAGAAAATCCATTACCAAGTAAAAGTCTGAACACTCATCGTGCACTGCCATGAGTCCAGTCAATCACGAATGCGCACGCCACCAACACTGGGCTTGCGAACCTCGGCGCCATTGTACACAGAGAACGGGTGACATCCTAAAAGAACGTAAGCAAGCCAACGTCAATAAGGCTGAGAGAATCGCCCTCCAGCTACAGGGAGAATCGCCCTCTCTCGTCCTTCGCCTCCAGGGTGCATGGGAGCGAGCCAGATCTCCCAATTATACTGGTAGGAACCTGGTTACACCAGCCCACAGGGGATTATTGTATCCGTCCGTCGTGCAGGGAGGGGCTGGGTGGGGAGGGGCTGGTCACCCCGTGGTGCCCTTATAAAACTCAACGTTTAACCTACTCACGCCGGCTTGTGCCCGCCCTCACAGCCATATTTGCGGAATACACCACGCCGCCGTTGACTCTGGCCATTGACCGAGCAACCCAACGTTCCTACCAGCTCCCTCCGCAGCAATGTGTTTGATCACCCAAATGCCTCCCGAACAAGTCGGGACGTCGAACTGGCCGTGTCTGCTGCGAACAGCGTTTTGCCTTCAACCCACTCTCATAAAGAGGCTGGCTTTGCAGCGCCAACAGAAACGTGTTAAAGCAGACATTGACCTCTACACCCGCATCTGACACCATTGGACGTCACGGCCCGTTGCAACTTAAAGGTCGCCAAATTAATCAGATAATGCTGTTCTACTGTCAACATAATCGACGCTATGTTGAGCAACTGCAATGCTCAGGATACACCTCACTGGTAAGAAACCAGACGCAAATATCAGAATCTCTTATGCCGTACTGGAGGAAGCTTGATTTGAAGCTTTTGTGACTGCAGGAATCCATGCTCTTTGGTTCTTTCGGTAAAGTCACGTAGGGGGCCGACCATAAATGACGTCACGCGATTTAGGACGATTTTTGACCCCCCCCCCTCGTCACACGGCGTCACAAAAAGTCAATATGACGTCACAAAGCTCTGCCCCCGCCCCCCCCAAAACCATATTTTCATTTTGAAAATAAAACGTGCTTCAAATCGCTTTAAACTATTGTCATTGTAGTGCGTATTTAATGTGGCGCTGCACTCTGATGTTGTAGGAGAAAGAAAAAAAAGTATATTTAATTAAGTAGAACGGGTTGTCGATATTTATTGAAAGTTGCGCATTATGATGTGACGTCACATTTCTCACCCCCCCCCCCCTCGTCACACATCGTTACAAATGTCTGACCCTCCCCCCCCCCCCCGTTGCGTGACGTCATTTATGGACACGGCCCCTAGGTATAAAATAAACCACGACGTTTCGATCGCAACACAAGCGGTCCCTCCTCACGGCTCGGAATTAGCAGCGTCACTGATTTAATGTATTCCCCGTCGTCTGACCTGCCACGCCGGGTGATAGGAATCGAGCCCGGTGTGCGAACCGTCACACCACTGCGGAATTTCCCTCCGTTTCTCATTGACAATACGAGTTCGCATTGCGTCCGCATGCAAAGCTAAAGTGGTCATGTTAATTCCTGACCGCGTCTACATTTGTATGTACTGTGTATGTTGCACTTATTTCGCACCGTACATAGCCAACCGTGCTAATCGGGAATAACTGGGGAAGGACAACAAAAGAAACACAAAAAGCGATTCTAAATAAATTAGTTTTTAATCTAGATTATTTAATAATGCACAGCTCCAGTGGCTTCATCATAGTGGATGGAAGAGCGTTTCAGACGGCCACAGAAGCGCACATTTGCTGCAAATTCGGTGCCCGGTTTGTTCCGCTCTTATTTGCAGGGGCGGCCCGAGACGAGCTGCCAGCAACTGGCGCCCCAAGGCGAACCATGCAATAGGCGCCCCCAAACCCCAAGCGAAGATTTAGGCTGAACTTTTTTTTTGGGAAACATTTTGCCCCTATTTTCCGTTTAATGTTTTTTAAGCGTGTTTTTTTAACAGAAGCATAATTATTCGATGTGTCTGTCTGTCCAACCAAAACATTCTCAGAAATGTTGATAAATTGATTATAATTCATATTCCCTCTGTGTACGCGCACGGAAATTGAAGTAATGACGTCTTCGTTATTTTATTTGTATAGTTTCCCCTATAATTCGGCGCCCCACTTAACTTGGCGCCCTGGCCTAGTTCGCCTGCATGCACGGGTTGCCCCTGCATGTTGGAGGATGACGCATTTTTTTTACTTGCACATAGCCCCGCTAAAATCGGTGATCGAAAAGGCCGGACGCCCTTTGCCTGCCACGAGTTCAAGGATGGATGGTGGCTACACACGGCAGGTGTCAATTACGGGGTCCTGAGGTGGGTGGCTGGGGGGGTACATGCGGGCACTGGGAAGTGACGCAACTGCTGGT